CGGAACGCTATAGTTAGCGCGTTTAGAATAACGCGTGAGAATCGTTGCAACAGGCCACTAGACTGTGTCGAGTGTTAGCTTCGTGTCGCGTGTCGAACAATTTTCCTCCCGAGATTTATTTGACCGTTGTTTGTCGAAAGGTCGAGTCGTCCATGCTCGAAACTATAATTCTTTCGTCGCGGCAGCCACGAGTTTTTTAAAGAATGCCACGCAACACGTTAGATATTCAACGATTTCAAAGATTGATTGGCATCGTTCAAATATAATTAAATATATATTGAAATTATATTTAATAAAGATACATAATATATAATATATAACATAACATATAACATATAACATATAACATATAACATATAACATATAACATATATGTGACATATGTTTTTGGATTTATTGCTCGACAATTTCTAATCATTTAAAATGATAGAAAATTATTTTAAACATATTAAATGCTTTTTCAGTTTTCAAACAATTGTTATGTTTAGTATGGGATCTGGAATAACTCCAGTTTATTCTATGGCAAAATCAATTATAGACAATGAACTCGAAGAAACAAAAGTTCATCTCATTGGAGGATTTAAAAACATATCTCAGATCCCTCTAAAAAGAGAATTACAAACCTTATCAGATTATTGGAATTTCCAATGTACATTATACATATCACAAATACAAAGTAAGTCAGATGGTTTTTTAAATATATTTTTTTCCATTATATAAATATATCATATTTTTATGTAATTACAAATATTTCCTGGTATTTTGTATTTTAGATGTTTGCAGGCTTCATGGTATAAATGTAAAATCTGAAAAATTAGATCAAAAATCAATCTTTGAAACACTTGAAAATAAAGAAGCTAGTACTACATTAATCTTAATATGTGGCACTAATCAATTTAATAGATTTGTTGAACAGTCGGTAAAATGCATGAATTACACACATATACACGTGTTTCAATGAAAAGACCATCATGTTAAATAGTTTTTAATTACATATTATTAGTCAATACGACATGATATGCTTTCTTTGCAGTTGGGACATGAACCATGAATTTGATCAAATATAACATGATTTCCAGCAATTGCTTTTAGCCACTAAAAATAAAATTTATATATATTTATAAATTATATTAGTCTTGAATAATGAATTATCCAATATTTATATATGTATAAATATACCTGTAATAAACAAGATGTATGGAAATGCCTTTTACATTTTTCATTATTACAAATTTTATCAGGTAGAGTCTCATTGTCTAATTTTATAGAAAAACAAATACAGCATTCTTCATCAGCAACAATAACATTGTAATCTATAGCTTCTTTTTTTATTTCTTTTTTAAGAAATGCATCTATATCTAATAATGTCATTAAATTATTTATAATATCACAGCTTGGATCCCATTTCTGAAAAAGTATTGTAGTATTTCTTTTAAATACTTCAATATATTTCAACTCTATTATTTTATATAGCAATATACTCCAAATATTACATACATGTAAATTTTTAGAAACTAGGTCTGTCTTTGATTCAACTTCAGTATCACTACCCATAAATTTAATTTCTGGTAAATCCATGTGATTCAAAGGATCTATTTTAATAAACATTGATAAAGATGGTGTTAAGTAAATTCGTCGATAAAGATGATATGGTTTTGGTTGCAATGGATCTATTACCCAACAATTCCTAATTATTTAAAAATAACGCATATATTATGCTATAAATTGAAAAGAAAACCAAAAACAAATAGGTATATCTACTCGTGTTCTTACTCATCAATCTGTTTTAGATTTGACCATGCTTTCTCAAACATTTCTACTTGTAACTTAAGTTTATTTCTTGCTATATCTAATGTTGTTATATTCCTTTCAAAAGGGCCAAGAGTAGATATTTCAGGCAAATCTGAATAAACAACTGTCCATGGACATGTTCTATGACTCGTTCTTTGCAGTCTTACAGTCACACTGTTCAAGGATAGTTCAATTGTATTCAGGCTAATATCAGATGATATCTTAATTCCCTAATAATGTAATTTCAACATTTATCTGGTTAACTTGATATTTTGATATATATAGATTTTTAGTTTTTAACATCAATAACTTATATAAATTTTTCACCTACAGATGGTATCTTAAGTACATTTTGTAATTCCGTTAACGTTTTCATTGCTTGGTCAGTTATCACATCGTACTCATAATTTTTAATGATATGACTAGAATTGATGAAATTGCTCTATTTGGAAAATTATTGTTATTGTTATATACATACATAAAATACAAAATTACAAAGACCTGTTACACTCACAATTAGCAATTGTAATTGTTTTAAGAATGTTGATACTTTGGTTACACTACACATTAAATCCTTTACTTTGTCACTAAATTCTTTTCTGCGTATAAATGTAATTTCTTTGCCAAAATAAATTTCTGCACCGGACATTGATGGATAATTGTGCACAATCAATTTTAGTCTGATTCGCATACTTCGCCCCGAGTTGCATGGAACTTCCAAAAATCCTTTCCATGTTACTGGTTGCTTGGAAACCAATATCATTTCTGGATATAACTGAATCATAAACTTGTAATCGCTCGTCATGACAAATTAATTTTTATTCATTACTCTTGTCTATGAAATATGACATTATATCTGTCTCAAAAATGCGTTGTATTCATCTTCATGATAGCAGTGACAGTTCTACGCTTTGTTCAACAAGTTGAATCAATAGAGATATACAAAGTCACGTGACTCGACTTACTGACTAATCATCAAGTTCATGAGTAATGAAACATGTCTTTTCTACAATTTCGTTTTACATGTATCTGATGTATATATCAATTTTAATATTATCGAAAAATTCAAATTTTTTTCTGGATAATATATATATATATATTATATAGTATATTATGTATATTGTAGAGAACATAATAAAATTTGAGGCGGGAAGTTGAACAAAATGTTGATCAGTAGTGTTAGGTAGTATAAAACTAGTTTTAATTTGTTGAATGAATTTATTAGTTTACTATATATTGAAATTAATTCGAACTTATGTTTATATATAATTTGTAATACAATTGCGAAAATTGTTTTGTATCATTTATACTAATTTGTATTTAATGTTATTTTATTGGACTTTTAAATACATTTAATTCTTAGAAATCATAATAGTAAAAATAAATTTAAATTTACAAAACTTGTATTTACGATTTATAGTTTATTTATTTACTATATAGATCTTGAAAAAGATAACTGAAATTTAAACAATCTTAAAGCTTCTAATATTTTGTCCATAGTTCATACTCATAGATTATAGATCATAGATATGGACATTATTCACAGTACGTAAATATCGTTTGTCGTCATTGATGGTAAACATTCCATTTAGGTTGAGATAAAATTGTATTTTATATAATTGTCTTAAAGTCAGTGAAAATGTAGCAGTAGTATTTTGTAACTTGTACAAAGTCAGTTGTGCTACGAACATGCATCGCGTTACTTCCATTTGCTACGTTTTCTTTATTGTAGGTTATAAGTCATAGCCTATTCCTTTGTCGAATTTGTTATTTAGTTCTCGTCTCGAGAAGTTCTGTCATTGATAGAAAAAGATGTTGAATATAACAGAATTATCAACGAAGAAAGAAAATACAGAAAAAAGGTAACATTGAAAATATTAAAAAGAAAAATTCACATATTGATGTATCATAGTGCATACATTCATGAATTGTAATACAATAGTAAGAACAACCATAAGGTGCAGTTATAAGAAGCGTTAACATTATCAATATGTTTTGATTGATCAATTCTGTAATTCTGTAAGCTGAAGTAACTTCGAAGAAAATGTATACAGTATTGTCTTTCATTGCAACCAAAGTATTAATATATACCTGAAGGTATTTTCTACATAATTTTAACATGGAAAGTTAATAAAAATTACTTTGGTAATTTGTGAAATGACACAAAATTGAAGTTAAAACGTACAAAATATCCAAAGTAATAATTACATATTGTAAATGTCAAGATATTTTTAATACGTAGAATAAAATAAAATATACTTATAATAAAATTTTAATACTTATAATAAAATAATTGATAAGAGTAAGAAAATATATTTTAACAAATATGACTGGTCCATTAAGAGATCAACCATGGGGTTTGAAAGTCATGGAATATGCAATTATTAAATGTTGTCCCAACCATCGTGTCAACCGAATGATATGGCATCAAGGTGGTATTTTAGCACTTACATACTTAGCATACACTTGTTATCATATGACAAGGAAACCTATGTCTGTTGTAAAAAATGTTTTGAGTTTTAATTGCAGTACTTTATCACCACCTCCAAATTTTTTAATCAATAGTAGTAATAGAGATACATGGTGTGATTGGGCTCCATTTGGTAAGTATAATATCAATATAGTAATTTAAATTCAAAATGATGTAATTATGTATAATTATATCTTTTTTTTTTAAATAGATACTGCAGATGCTCCAGCGTTACTTGGCATATTAGATTCAGCATTCCTGTTTGCATATGCAGCAGCCATGTTCCTCAGGTGACATATTGAAGTGAGCTTATTTATAAGATCAAAAGTTGTACAGATTATTTTGATAATAATATTAATATTTATATGTGCAGCGGTTTCATAGCAGAAAGAGTAAACCTACGATATTTTCTTACATTTGGCATGCTTGCATCTGGTATATCTTGTTATCTTTTTGGTATTGCTAGACCATACAACATTCATAATTTATGGTATTTTGTTTTGGTTCAAGTAAGTGTGCGCAAATGAGTTGTATAAATCTATTTTGGCTCAAATTATTATAAACCATTATTATATTTAGGCTATTGGTGGTGTTTTCCAAACATCAGGTTGGCCAGGTGTAGTTACAGTTGTAGGAAATTGGTTTGGAAAAGGAAAAAGAGGATTGATCTTTGGAATATGGAATTCTCATACATCATTAGGAAATATTTTGGGTAGTTTAATAGCTGCCGAGTTTGTGGAATCTGATTGGGGTCTAAGTTTCATGGTACCTGGAATAATAATGGGCTTAATAGGCTTTATAATATTTTTATTTCTAGTACCAAATCCTATAGATATAGGATGTATACCACCTGTTTCACCTAAGTATAGAAAACTTGATGCTGCCCATAGTTCAGATGAAGGAAGTAGTGCAGATGAATGTGAAAATATACATAATGTAAGTTAAATATATTTTTCGATAAAATTCCTATTTATTTCTTAGCATGTTATGCATTACTAATAGTATTTTGTAATTATTATCTATACTAGCACTGGAATGTATATTTTTCAAATATTTCATGCATATTAATGTCATACATTATACAAAATTAGTAGAAAATATTAGCAGTTCACTTTTTTCTATTTTTGATAATTTACTTTAATAAATGTTTGAATGGTCATCCGTTTCTTTAATTTCATAACATTAAGTATTTAATAATTGTAATAATTGTAATTATTAAATTTTCATGTTTATACTTGTTTTACATATATTTGTTTTACATATAGTAGGATCCCTTATAATGTGAAAGATATTACAAATTGTGAAGTAATTTCTTGATGGCGTTTTACGAGGTCCTATTGTATGTCCTTTTTTCTTTTTGCACATATTGTATGCTCACTAAAGATAACTCATTTACTGTACTTAGCGTCTCACTTATCGCTGTGCCTACCGCGAACAAGTTGATGTCGATGTAAGTGCATGCTTCGTTTTCTTTATGTAATTAATATTTACTTCATATAACTATATTAACACAAATAGTTTCAGTGTTTGTAGTATTTTAATATTTATATTATTTCTTTGGTATTTTTTTTATAATAGATATAAGCTTTGCATGTATATACTTTATCTATATATTTCTTATATTTCTATAAGTATTTATAATAAGTTTATTTTGTAAGGACATCGAAAATGTACGATCTGAAACTAGTCCGATATTACCAAGGCATAGACATATACAAGAAAGTGATAGAGGAAATGCAATTGGATTCATAAAAGCTATGATGATACCTGGTGTCGTAGAATATTCTCTTTCTTTATTTTTTGCAAAACTCGTAAGCTATACATTCCTGTATTGGTTACCATTGTATATTGCAGCTTCAAGTTAGTATTTTTTAATTTATGATTAAAATTAAAAATTGTGTGTTTTGTATTAAAATATTTTGCAAATATTTTTATCTACTTAAATGTTTTTAGCTACCTACAGCACAACATTAAGTGCAGATCTTTCTACTTTCTTTGATGTTGGTGGCATAATAGGTGCAATAGCAGCTGGTGTTTTATCTGATTATAGTGGGACAAGTGCTCTAACATGTGCAGTCATGTTTGGATTTGCAGTTCCTATGGTATGTGATTAGTCTGTATTATATGTGTTGAAAATTTTAGAAATAAGTACCTTATAGTCATGAATAATGTTAATAAATGTTAATAGTGTTCATTAGTTTAAGATTTAAATATTACTAGATTAGATTAGTAATTATTTATTTCTATAAAGTACAATTTTTAATTCATTATATAGTTATTCATATACAACTATATTGGGAGTACTAATTTGGCAACCAACATATTGTTGCTGCTAATAGTTGGTTTATTAGTAAATGGACCATATGCCTTGATAACAACTGCAGTATCTGCTGAACTAGGAACACATCCTAGTTTGGGAAATAATTCTAAAGCTTTAGCTACAGTTACTGCAATTATTGATGGTACAGGCAGTATTGGAGCTGCTGTAGGTCCACTACTAGCAGGAATGGTAGCAAATTGGGCTGGTTGGCACGATGTGTTTTATATGCTCATGATTGCAGATATGTTAGCATTATTGGTTAGTTTATTTAATATTAAATATCTAAAAAATAATGATTCGTTCAAATTTTAATATAATATGTATTATTTCAGCTTCTATCAAGATTAGTTTACAGAGATGTAAAACTATTTAGACGACGGCGAAGAATTGTTTAACGTTTCTCATTAAGTAAAAAATAATGCATATGAAAATAAATAAATTCTTCAAATGTATTTGAATATTAATTCTTTTATAAAATATGTATAAAATATTGCACTTTATGTTCAATTTCGTCAATTTACTAGTGCACCTAAATACAACAGTATATTTTTTATAACTATACTTTTTATAATTTAGATTATTATTATTTAATCAAATCCTAAGAAAAAAATAACAGTCTTATTTTATGTATTAAAAATGTATATTATAATAATCACTTGTAAAGAATTAAATAAAGATAAATATATCAAGGAATGCCGGTTGGAATTATGTAACTAATAGAATCTGCGAATTCACCCCAGGCTGCTCTTTGTGTTTGAAACGTAATAATCCATGCTAAAAGAGCAATTGACCATATACTTGCTCCAATTGCAGAAAATATTACATCTGAAAAAATTAATATCAAAATATATCACAATATATACAAACAATAAATAATTTTACCAAAGATAGCTAGTTTTCTATATTTTAATAAACATAGAATATAATATTGAATTTATATAATCATAATTAAGATGAAATGAATGATGTTAATTAGTCAATCTTTTTACAATTCTTTTTAGTATCTTTTAGTATCTTTTAGTAATATTAAAAATTTCATGCTGCTTATATAAAATTTACTAAATACTGAATTTATATTATGCAAAACTTACATCTTTTAATTTGTTTCTGTTCCTCGTAATGAGGCTCAATAAAAGCTTCTTTTGCAAACCAAATAGCATTTACAGCCCAAAGAAATGGTAGAAAAACAAATCCGGCTACAGAATAAACAAAATATTTACACGTATTTATATAAATAGAACGTTGCAATTAGAGACACGTATCTTACCCCTGAAATACCATTTGCAAAGATATAATTTTTTGTCGTTTGGTATTTTTGACAAATCCATTGTCAACAATGTCAGGATTATAACCTAGACTTTTGTTACATCAGACGCCACAAATGTACAATGCAACGTTACTTCAAATATATCAAATCAAGTTTGCATCTATATATATATACACACACATTTAATATATATGATGTATATATATATGTATATATATATAATGTATATATTAAAAAATTGTCGAGGTTAATAAAAATGAGAAGATTTAAGAAAGAATAATGTAAAAGCTCATTCCAGGTTAAAACTTGAACTTAAGATTTTCTTTCGAATAAAAATGTTACTTCATCTTTCCAATAGATGGAGCAGTTGGATAATAAAAAAAGAAAATAAAAAAAGGGTAATATATTTTAGTTGTTCTCATAAGAATTACATCGAACGAAACTGTATCGTAGGAAATGTTTTCGAAATATATACACCGTCATTGAACTTCATTATGAACGCTACGCACAAGTAATTGTACGTAAATCCTGTACTTTTTACGAGAGGAATCAAAGCAACAATTCCAAATAAGAGAATTCGCTTCAGAGAAGTGCGTGGAATTTTGGATGAGCACCATTTTCCTAATCAAAATGGTGGGAGCAGGTCATGTGATCAGTTAACTTGGTGTTCCGCTTGTCGCGCGAGTAACCGTGGCCAGCCATTTTGATTAGTAACATGGCGTCAGCAGAGATTAATATGGCGTCCTCGGACATAATAACCGAAGTGGAGATTCAACCTGATATTCAGGAGGTTGAAATAGAAACGATACCGGTTGAGATACCCTGCGAGACCGTGGAAACTACGATCGAAGGTGAAGATGGCCAGCCGATGATAGCACTTCAAACACTTCCAGAGCCAGGACGCGAAGAAATCATACTACAGACGCAAGAGGAAATCGTCGGTACTGATCCACTGAGCGTGTATGATCAAATCCCGGTCCCAGAGAACGATATTTATGTCGAGTCAAGTCCCGGCCCATCGAGAAAGGGTCCTAAGAAGGCCAGGAAAAGTGGCTCGTCGAAATTCAGATCGTCCGACCATACGATTTTCGGGGAAATGGGCTCGGAAACGAAGGCTAGAAAGTGGGAGCAGAAGCAAGTGCAAATTAAGACGCTCGAAGGTGAATTCTCGGTGACGATGTGGGCATCGGGTACCGATGACGGTAAGTTTTTCATCGTTTATTTCCTTCTAACCTTGCCAATAATTCGGATAGAACACTGACCCGATAGATAAATTCGCCCGAGAAAGGCTATATCTTAGCAAGTGTATCTCCACGCACGTTGTTTCATACGCACTTCCGGTGGTCTTGAATCGATACCGTGCTTTTCACACGGGCTTACCAAAGAAATTAATCGGGTCCCTCGGTTCTTTATTATCAATGAATTCGTTGACAGTTTGCGTTGTTTGTTTTGATCGAGAGAACGCCATTATGCTACCAGGGGGCAGCCATATTTTGAAAATGGCTTCTTTTACTTGGATCTGTCCTGTTGAATGATAATGGCGGAAATGTACTTGCAACAGAATCGACGAAACTCTAAACCATCGTGCTAACTTTGTCTTTTTATGTATATATTCCTACTTGATTTTTAAGCCTTTTTTTCATGAACGTACTACGTCTACGTAGATTTCCACTTGAATAAACGTATAATTCAGCGTTTTTAAGTATTAAATCGCCCAGAAAAGATAAATTAATTCCTCCAAGTATGAAGCATTCAAATTTCTTACATCATTCATATATAACATATCCATGGTCGTTCTAAAATATTCGCAATTATTGAATTGATTTAAAAAATTGAATTGTATTTTAATTTCCATTTATTGAGATTGTGTGTTGACAGATAAGATAAAAAAAAAATGTAAAACAGATCGACAAATACGTAAATTATATTGTGATCGTACCATAGTATTATATAAATCGATAATTAAACTTATTCACATTTAATATATCTTAAAATATCTATCTATTTAACTATATATTATAAGAAAGAAATCAACAAGCTTAAGTAAAAAATTATTGTTAGTTTTAATGTACTGTACATCATGGTAATATTAAATATTCCTTATTATACCTGAAAAACGTGAAAAAGGAAACTAAAATGTATATGTTGTTATATATTATTGAAATGTAGTATTAATTAGACAATTATTATTATTAGGAAATTTTACATTAATTTTCCATTATTGAATATATGAATAGAAATCATTTTTCATACTTAATGAATTTAATGAATTTTAATTTTTCAAGATGTACAATTTATATAAATTTCAAATTATTTGTTAATTTATGTTACTTGAATGTATATAGTTTTATGTATTTAAGATGTGTATATATGAGTTTTCAAACAGAGCATTTATTTTATATGAAAAATATAAAAACAAAAGTATTGGTAATATATTATGTAATTTTGTCCTTGGATATTTATTTTTAACTGGAACAGTTTGTTTAAAAAATTCCATTCATTATAAAAGTTTATTCTACTATTACACACAAATAAAAATATGTGATTTAAATAATGAAAAATAAATACAGTAGCTTTTGTTTGGGACTGCTTGTTGTTGTTAAAGGGAGTGTCCTATTAGCTCCTCACCTGGTGGATGTTCCAGATGAAGGCTCAAATCCAGAGCCTGATCCAGACTACACAGAATACATGACTGGTAAATCCAATACCAAATTCAATCACTCTGGAAGTTCTATTTCTGATGGAATGCCAGGTCTTGACCTTTCGGATCCAAAGCAACTGGCAGAATTTGCTAGACCTGGTCATAAATTGAAAGTACGCAAACCACCTGTTCTAGACGGTGTAGAACGCACTATAGCTTGTCCACATAAAGGATGCACAAAAATGTTCAGAGATAACAGTGCAATGCGTAAACATTTACATACTCATGGGCCAAGGGTGCATGTATGTGCAGAATGTGGGAAAGCTTTTGTTGAAAGTTCCAAATTGAAAAGGCACCAGTTGGTTCATACAGGAGAAAAACCTTTCCAATGTACATTTGAAGGATGTGGTAAAAGGTTTAGTCTGGATTTCAATCTTCGTACTCATGTTAGAATTCATACAGGAGACAGACCTTATGTATGTCCATTTGATGGATGTAGCAAAAAATTTGCACAATCAACGAATTTAAAGTCACATATATTAACACATGCGAAGGCTAAGTAAGTAGTTAATAATCCTTTTTATATATCTGTTATTTTTTTTTTCAATAAAAAATTATTTAGTAACATAAAATGTTTAATATTTCTAGGTCACGTAATGCCATTGGCAGAGGAGTACAACAAATTCAACTTCAACAACCTCAATTTGTTCAAGTTGAAGTTGCAGATGTGGATAATCAACAATTCATTGTTTATGCTGATTAGCCCCCCTAAACAATGATCTCATATCCTACAAACTTATTACGGAATATTGTAATCATTAATTAGTAATCTAAACAGTGTAAATATTTTCATTATAAGTGAAGTGGACAGGACGTTACTAAAGCTATTAGTATCTTTAAGAGAAGAAATTAATTAATCAATTTATACCTCTGTGCTTAGACGCGAAGTAAATAGATATCACAAGCACTATACTACCACAAAAAATAAAATAAAATTACACAAAGAAGGTAGTGTATCTTCTGATATATAAAGTAGCATTGCGCACTGCTCAATCTCTTATGTCAGAGTCACACTATGATACCTAGTGCGCTCTTATGATACAACTGTATATATTTATACTTAAACTAAAATATTGTATACAGTATATTTTGGAGAAATTCTGATGAGAATAAACTACAAAATACGTCTTTTCCGTCGGACTCAATTGTACCACTTTAATATACTTTTTACATTACATAATAATTGTTAATAGTTATTGGAAGAAGGAAACAAATGCGTCTACTGTATAATATACCTTGATGTCCACAAAATATGATACATTTATTCCTGTAAAATTATTAAGATGTTTTCTAAGTATTGTCTTAAATGAATACTGAGAGTGTTGTAAGATCAAATGGATGCGTGTTTAATATTGTCGGCATTTAAAAAAAGTCATCGATTAATTCGAAGAACCTTTGGTTGACATAATATATTTTATCCGTGATATTCACGACTATATGTACATCGATGCAATGACGTTAACGAAATTGTTAAAGAGTTTGTGTCATTTCAAAGTAGGAAGCAATAGTTTATAGATAGATTTATAATATTGATTGTATTAAATGGCGATTGCGTGCATCCCATTACATCGTTATTCATTAACATTTGCATATCACAATTTTATATATGCAGCTACGACGTTAAAACGTAATTCAATCTATATTATTTTTAGAATTATTTATAAAAAAAACTTTGGATAATTTATTTAAACCATATAAAGTATATTCTTTCATCAAATTTCGTTTGCAGATATTCACCTTATTTTTCATAGCTTTCATTTCATATATAAAGGAAACTTCTACTATTTCTTAAAGAATCGTTTCCCAAAATATTTTTAAAAAATATTTGTCACAATCTCGATTAAAATCTTAATTTTTACTCAGTTTATATATCCCAGTAAGTTTTTGTACTTGTATTCTTGTAATAAAATGTAAAAAAAATAATTAGAAATTTTGCTAGAGTTTAATATAGCAATTTGGCCTATTACAAATGAATACAAATACAAAGGATTTTTTATTTATTTTTATATCGTGAAGGTTCAATATAGTTTTTTGTATACTGTAATAATTATTGCTTCCTGCTGGAAGTAATGCTAAATATAATTTGAAGTATATAAAAATTATTTTTTTGTGTTTTAATATTATTAGTGTGCTAGTATTACATATTAACATTCAAGTTCGCAAATGTATTTAAAAATAAGGATACGTAATTTTCTGATTTTTCTATTTTTATCATTACACATGCAAAATTTCTTTTATACTGCGATCATTTTATACAATTATGATGTTTATATATAAAGATTTAATGATTCGTTAGAAATCAGAATTCATTTTACATTGAAAGAAAGTATATCTATTTTACAAATTTAAATTATTAAAAAGAAATTGATATCAGTATGTAATATTTAAAAATGCAATAATCTTCACTATGATTAATTTCATAATTATGTATTAGGTAATTATATATCAGTTCATCTTTTTTCCCAAGTATTTATGTATATATAAAAGTTTGTTTTGAGAAAAGTATATATTCCATCTTTTTTTTGTATTTATTGTTTAAAGGAATTCAATATGTTTAGAAATGAAATACAATTTTGATAAATATTTGTGAAAATTTTAGCAAACATATTTTTGATAAAACAGCCATTAGAGTGACAAGTAAATTTAAATCGTTTTATTATGAAGGATTATTACAATTGAAAAATAACATAATTAATACCTTCCAGATCGTCCATCTCTACCTTTGTCATCTCTACCTTTTCGACGGTCTTTGGATCTGGATCTTCTGTCACGAGATCGTGATCTTCGTTTGCGATCACGGCCGCGTGATCGCGAACGTGATCTTGATCGTCCTTTACCCTTTTTTCGGCTATATAAATAACGTCGTAATTCTCGTGAAATAGGCTTCAAATGCATGAAATTACAAAATCCTGAACGCGTGCATTCTCTGCAAGAACATGGAATTTCTTTAGGAAAAGAAGTATTAACAAAATATTTCAAAGGAAAAATTTGTAATTCATTTGTTTTTACTGTCTGTTATTCAGATAATATATACCCCATTTCATATTGACGACAACAAGCTTCTCTAAAATCAGTAACTGGAGAAAGTTCAGCGTAAACTGGTCTCCCACCAAACCATCTGTTATTTAAGTCATTCACAGCTCTTTCCGCATCTTCTTCTCGTCGAAATTTAATGTAAACATTCCCAACTAAGTGATCCCCAAGATTATCGCACACATTCATTTCTTCTATTTCACCGTACTTATCTTCACACTCAACAAAGACATCCTCAAAAAAGTTGTCATAATGTTCTTGCATTTCTTCATCAGACACATTTGCAACCACTGTAAAATAATGTTTATTGATAATAATTATAAGAATTATGATTTTTAATATGTGTGAATATATCGGTAGAAGTTTAATTTATGATATACTTACAATGAGATCCATCTGCACTTTTTGCTGAATTTTGAGGGTTCACATAAAGGTTTTGCAACAAACATGTCTGAAACAATTAAGATAATAATTCACATGAATAAATGTATTTATATTTGCACAACTATATTAAATAATTGAGATCAAAAAACAAAATTCTCATGTAAGATGCGCAGAACAGTACAATATTATTTAATAATATTAAGGAGCTTGGAAAAAATAAATAGGTTAAGTAAAATATTTTTACCTGACTAAAAGTTGGCTTGTTATGAATTCGCGAGCATCTGTCTCCATGCCGGCAGGCACCGATTTTGAAATAAAACGAACAATTTACTCTAAAAATAAAGAGAAATAACACCATTGATATTTGTTTGGAGAATGCTATTGAATGATAAATTTGAACATTCGACTTACTTATCTTTCTCTGTACCGAAAATTGATGCCAAATATTCTGCCATACTCTGTTATCTCCTAATATTTCTAAATTGTAAGATGCAACGTTTTTCTGAAACATGCAAAGAGTTTTGTTACAACATATACAACGTTTTGCCTGTCCAGTGACTCTGATCCAAAATGGCGAACTTTGTACATATAAAAGACTTAATAATAAGTTTGTCAGTAATTCACGATTGTGAACGTAACTTCACACTTGATCTCCAGAGGTCATGCTAGTTTTACATGAAGCACAGATGAGGTATACCTCGTCTGTGCATGAAGTATGACAAGTAATAAAAAACTTTTCAATAAAACTTAAATTCCATTTTTCTGTGTATAAAAATTAATTATGTCGATCATGTAAAATTATCATCAATTATATTCTTTGCAATAGTAAATATATAATTATTATATTTACGTCTGTTATACATTTGAGGTTATCGATAAATTTGAAATCCTTCATCTAATAACTAACTATACAAATAGATGGAGCTTTGATTTAGAGGAAAAGTTTGTTTTGTAAATTTAGTATGAATCATTGCAAGTAACAGTCCATATCCCTCTTCCAGGGAGTCACATGGTGTGAACAATTTATTCCTGCATTATGGCTACATCGAGTTGTACAGATAATATCAAATATATTTATCAATTACCATTTTTTGAACGATCAGAGCTTTGTAAAATACTTAATCAAAATGACAAGTGGGAAGAACTTGCTGGTAAGTTTTAAAAAAGTTACCAAAATTATATATAATATTTAACAATGCCTTATGAAATAATCTAATATCTCAAACAATCTAACAATCTAACTAATTGGACAATTCATTTAGGTACATGGATGAAATATGATGTATTGACAATACAAAGTTTGAGAAAAGAAAAGAATCCAACGGATGAATTGTTAACAATGTGGGGTCATTACAATCATACTATATTGGAATTGTTTGTTCTGTTGTCTAGAATGCAACATTATCAATCTATGGTACTATTGAAATCATTTGTTGAAGAAAAATTTCATAAATTACTTGACAATGGAGAAGGAAATCTTCATTACAGAGTACTAGGAAAACATTTGAATAAAAATACAAAAGATTTAAAGATAGGTACACAGAATTTTAATCAGATCTCGCCACCAGAATCAAATGCACCAAAAATTACTGTGGAAAAAAATGCTAAGGAGGAATCTCATAAAATTTTAAATCAACCAATGCAAGCCATGCAAGGAATTGCTCCAAGTAATTCTAACAACTTACTTGTTGCTCCTCCAGCAGCAGCAAATCCTGTACCAGCTTCTTCACGTGTTCCAAGTAGTGAAAAGAGAGACAATGGTGCCACTATGTTTAGAACAGAAACAACTATACCTCATGTTCCTTATAATGAATTAACTATAGCTACTAAAAATTGGAACACATATAATATATTAGGCAAAGGTGGTTTTGGAATTGTATACAGAGGTAATGAAAATAGAAGTAATAAATTATTTAATATACATTAATTTCATACATAAATTACATTTTTGTTGTACAGGTACATGGAAAAATACAGATGTAGCTATTAAAAGAATTCAGAAAAGAGGGGCTGATTCTGATGAAAGTCATATACTTCAACTTCAACAATCTCTTAGAGAAATTAAGATTTTAAATTCTTATAGGCACGAAAATATATTACCACTATATGCTTATAGCTTAGATGGTAAAATTCCTTGTCTTATTTATCAACTTATGAAAAATGGATCTCTAGAAGACCGATTATCATTAAAGCACAGAAGTCAACCATTATCTTGGATCCAGCGTCATGAAATAGCTACAGGAATTGCACGTGGTTTACAATATTTACATACAGTTGGAGAAAAGCCTTTAATACATGGTGATATAAAGAGTGCCAATATTTTGCTTGATAAAAATTTGGAACCTAAAATTGGTGATTTCGGCTTAGCAAGAGAGGGTCTAGAAAGAGATTCTATGAAAGTAAGTTTTGTTTTTATTGAAAAAATACATGGAATATATTATTTATTGTTTTATTATTTTCGTTTTAGATAAGCAAAATTCATGGCACTAGACCATATCTTCCAGAAGAATTTTTACACGGACGAAAATTATCTACAAAAATTGATACATATAGTTATGGTATAGTTTTATTTGAATTAGCTACTGGTTTATCTGCTTATGATGAATCTAGGTTGGAAAATAAGTTTTTAAAAGATTTTATTGATAATTGGGAAGATAAAAATCTTTCTTTGCTAATTGATAAAAAAGCAGGTGAAAAGGACAAACAGGTTTATAACAACCTAATAGTTTTAGGAAAGTGGTGTACTAATCGTATGGCACAAAATAGACCTGAGATGGATTTTGTGTTCAAAAAACTAAATGACTTATGATTTGATTATGCTTTTATTTTTTATGAAAATTGTATGAGAATATTATATTTATTGAAGAATATTCTGTAAATTTGCACGTATCGTATGTTGTAATATTGAGTTCAGTGCATCATTTATATATATAACAAATATCATTATGTATATAACAAATATGTTACAACATATATAACAAATTATTACTAATTCCAACATTAATTCCTATGTTACAACATATATAACAAATTATTACTAATTCCAATGGAATTTTTGTAATTGTATGCTATAATACTCCTTTTTTGATAATATTTTTATTCCATAAAAATACACATATTTTCATATAGATTTTATAATTATTTTTGGAAAAAATAAAATATTTGCAGATAATGAATACATTTTATTTCATCTATATTAAAATAGTAGATAACGTATCACAAATATATTTTATGTTAAGTATTTTCAATAAAAGTGCATTGTAAAAGATTAAGTAAAATAAAGTATAAAGAATAATGATGTAAAGAAGAAATAATCGTATCATATTTAATTGTAAATAGGTATATAACAATGCATATATGCAATGCATGTACATTACGTATTGCTTATTTTTTTAGTGAAATATCTTCCTAACAAATCTAAATTTCCGTCTCATTATCAAATATTCAGATTATAAAAATAAAAAAATAATAAATTATAAAAATTAAGTATCTTAATTACAGTAATAAGTTAAATTTCAATTTCATTTTAGAGATGTCAGTAAATAGCTTTAAGTCTTAAAAAGTGTTCAAAAATTTGAAAAACAATACGTTAGACAAAGTCAGAATATATTTTTATGTCCTAAGTATAATTGCTTATAATAATTAATAAATACAGATGAATTATAAAATGTAGTTAATTTTTTGCAACGACTAAAAATTCTAATAGCATTCTGTTTGAGAGAAAGACGTTGTATTGAAATATGCGTTTTATATCAGTAGTGAAGTTAGATACTTCCGGTAGTGTAAATCGAAACGAAACGAGAGGTGATAGCTAAAAATTTTGTTGCGGTGATTGATGTCCTAATGAAAATATTGAATACAGAAATAGAGACATGTAAGTGATTTGTTATATATGAATCTTTACTTCTTGCTTAAATATGGTAATAACACGTATGTATAGCAATCTTTTCTTAAATGAATTCTACCAACCGAATTTTTTTCAAAGAAATATAGAATGAATCTCTCTTTTATGCATTATTGAAGTACTATCGCCACAAACTTTTTATTTTATAGGCAATGAATGTGTAATAATAATTTTATATTTTACATTATATTATTGATATATTATCTCTCTACGGAAGCCTCATGATGCCATGTTTCTAAAACTTTTGTGATTTACTAGCAGCGTTACAGATCGGGAAAGAAATTTTTTGGGACAATCTAATTCGATATGTTGATATTATTGGTTATGTAATCTATGAAAAAAAAA